GCGTCTGTACGGAGTTGAGTCAGCTGTAGTTAAAAAAAAAGTTTCTCTTTCATTATTTTCAAAATTGGTTCTTATTTTTAAATGGCCTAAATGCAGCTTTTTGGTGGGAATGCTTTGAAGCTTCCATCTGGTGCTCGCTTTCGTGGTGATATTAATATTCTTCTTGTTGGTGATCCTGGAACCAGCAAGTCCCAGCTGCTCCAGTACATACACAAGTTAGCGCCTCGCGGAATATACACTAGTGGAAGAGGGAGTTCTGCCGTTGGATTGACTGCTTATGTTGCGAAAGATCCCGAAACAGGGGAAACAGTATGTTTTTGTTTATTAAAAACTTTATCTTATGGTATTTCATGAAAACACATGAAGTTGAGTGGAGGCATTTTATGACTCTTCAGGTTTTAGAGAGTGGAGCCTTAGTTTTGAGTGATAGAGGCATTTGCTGCATTGACGAATTTGACAAAATGTCTGATAGTGCAAGGAGCATGCTACATGAGGTTGGTTATTCTTTCACTTTTTTTCTCAAATATGTGGGAGGAATGTGCATTTTTTCAAATGCTTATAAACTTATCTTTTCTTTTTAAGTTTGGACACTTTGTCTTCGAAATCATGTTGAGTGATATGTGAAGATCCAGATTAGATGCTTTCAAGTTTAATATGGCAAGTTTGTAGATCCAATCATATGCTTCAAAGTTTGACATTCTAATTTCTTCTTTTTAGCTAATCAGAGACGCAAGAATAGTATGCCAGTATGCTAAGTGGCATTAAGTATACTACGTAGTATATTATCAGGGCTGTGTTCTAGTATTCCTTTGTGCACAATGCAACTATTTTCCCATTGATGGCTTTATTTCTAAATATACTCATACTCCCCCAGGTGATGGAACAGCAAACTGTTTCAATAGCTAAGGCAGGAATTATTGCTTCCCTTAATGCTAGGACTTCGGTCTTGGCTTGTGCAAATCCAAGTGGTTCACGCTATAACCCTCGCTTATCAGTAATTGACAACATACACCTTCCTCCTACCTTATTATCCAGGTGAGAAGATACACATGACATGCTTCTAGCACAGTAACAAGGCCTAAACTACGGCTTAACAATGGTTTTGCATACATTCATCTAATTTAAAGACTTATTGTTGTAAAGAATGTCAAACTGGTTTTTTTGCATACTTGTGAAAGTTATCTATTGTGGAAATTGTTGTTAACTTTGGGTGTAAAGAAGACTTGAAAAAAAGAATGTCAAACTTGTTTTCTTGCACAGTTTATTCAAGGTCTCTATTGTAATGGTTTTGAGTTGCTCTCTGATCATTAGTTTTTCTCAGGTTTGATCTGATCTACTTACTCCTTGACAAGGCTGATGAGCATACAGACAGACGCCTCGCAAAGCATATTGTTGCATTACACTTTGAGAATCCTGAGGTCTGGTGAATTATGATTTCTCTTATCTAAGTACTATGTTTTTTTTGGTAAATATTTATAGGACTAGTTTTAGCACATATCTTGTCTATCTTTAAATTTCCATGTCTCCAATTGCAGAGTGTACAGCAGAATGTCTTAGACATTGCTACGTTGACTGCATATGTGGGCTATGCCCGAAAGCATATTCACCCACAATTATCTGATGAGGCTGCTGAAGAGTTGACTAGAGGTTATGTTGAGTTGAGGAGGAGAGGAAATTTTCCAGGCAGTAGCAAAAAGGTAATTTACATCAATCTTAATACAAGGTACTCTTCATATATATTCTAGGTCCAGAAATTATAGAAGAATGTTCACATAATATATAGTTATACACTTGTGACAATATTTTCATACGATGTATCATTTTTCCCTATCAAGTGAAGATTCATTTTGCAATTTCTTTATTTCATCTCTTTCTTTGATGAAAAATGTTTTTGTCTTTATTTGCAGACTACATTGATTGGTGCTTTTGACCTAGATCTTCAAATAAATTTGTCAATTCTTGCATCAATCAATCTGTGTTTTTTTTCGTTAAATAAAAAGTGAAAGCTGGCATGACCATATCATATTCAATTAATTGATTATTTGACAGGTGATAACAGCAACACCCAGGCAGATTGAGAGTTTGATACGACTTAGTGAAGCTCTAGCTCGCATCCGTTTCTCAGAATCGGTTAGCAAAGATTGCATTGTATCTTAACAGTTCACAATATATTTATCTGGAGTAAAATTAATAAAATTATGGCCTGATGCGTGCAGGTTGAGAAGCATGATGTTATTGAGGCATTTCGGCTTCTGGAAGTTGCAATGCAGCAATCGGCAACTGATCACTCCACCGGTATTTACAGCATTTGTGTCCACTTTTTCTTAATTATACGTTCCCTGAAGACAAACACAGCTTAACATCATGTTTTACTTGTGGTTTGTTCTTAAGGAACGATCGACATGGATCTTATCACCACTGGAATTTCGGCAAGTGAAAGAATGAGACGAGAAAGTCTCGTATCATCAGCTCGCAACATAATTATGGAGAAGATGCAACTTGGGGGACCCTCAATGCGCTTGTTAGAGGTGTGCTTATTTACAAGATGTACAAACTAGAGTCATGTAACTATCTTATAAACATCATCTTGATGTGTTTAATATGTCCTGCAGCTGCTGGAGGAGCTGAAGCAGCAGAGCTCTGGCGGCGAACTCCATCTCAATGATGTTAGTATATTGCTCTCTCTCTCTCTCTCTCTCTCTCTCTCTCTCTCTCTCTCAATACAAACACAGATTGGCATGCTGATGGCTATGCTTTTGTTGGCATTTCAGCTGAGGACTGCAATTACGACACTAGCAACTGAGGGATTTGTGGCTTTTGTTCACGGCGACAGTGTCAAAAGAATATGATGAGAGAGGACAGAAGAAATGAGTGACACTTGACATTGGTTCTTTTTAGTTGCCACAATTAATTGAGACACCTCTAAACAACTGAAGATATATCACACCATATTCAAGAGTTGTTTTTGCAGGTGATTGTTGTGCGTGTAAATTATTTGGTAGTCTTTTTTGTTTGTTGGTCAAGTAGTTTAGTTGAACTACCTACCTATCAATATAATATAACTAGTTCATAACAAGCAGTTGACGATACAGAATTTGTATTATCGCCAACTAGCTTTTGGTCATGTGTTAGTAGTCTTCACGTAGTTGGTTAAAGCCTCGTGTTCATGAGGTGCGACAGTTGCAACAATTTATGTTTCGTGTGTAAAATTGAATTTAACTAAAATTTGAGGTCACTCTGCTCATCATCGATCGCGTTCTTGGTAAATTGCATTTTTGCTTCATTGATCCTTGGACTGAAATTTCAGTTTTGTTGCATGCTGATGACTGTCATGGGTTAATTACTTTTCACTTTAATTCCTTTCCATAGTTAGTCTTATCCCTCGTAGAAATTTGTTAGGTGTAGGGCAGAGTGTGTAGCCACAATTTGTTCTTGTATTTTTATGCTACAAGTGGGGTTATTTCTTTGACTGAAAAGAGGGAAATCATTTTCGATAAAAAAAAATGGAATATGTTTGTACTTTTGTTTTTGTAATTACTAGAAGACTTTTTTTTTTTTTATCCAAAAGAATTCTTGAAATGGTATAACTCTTCACTTTGATTCTTGATAATGAAAATCGATAGACATTGTTCCTGAGTTTGTCATCTGTAAATTATTTTGGTTGTTTTGTAAAAATATGTCAATATCCTCGATAAATTGTCATGTGAACGATCACGTGACTACCTTTTTAGGTATATCAATCCCTTTACTTAACGAAGATATTGATAAATTTTTTTTCTTCAGAATAATCAAAATGATTTACAACAGCAAATTTAGAAACTATTTTTATCGATTTTTATTGTCAGATACCAAAGTTAGGAATTATGCTAATCTCACTAACCTTTTTGTTAAAGCCTTACTAGAATGTTGCAAAAACTTCTTGAAACCAGGTCATGGAGTCAAAACAAGATTGCAATCCTGGGAGTTATTGAGGATTGTAACATTAGATTGCAATGCATTGTATGACGATTATCGCAAGATAAAAAGCACTTGACCGAAACTCATCATACTAGACGTGCATATCAAAGGCAGCTTCTTCATCTACGCTCTTGCTACTCGAGAATTATAACACTCACTTTAAGGAAGTGACACAACCTTGATGGCGGTCATCAATCACTCCAACAACAACGATGTTTGTATATTGTGTGTCTGTAAGGAGCAATGTTGATTGGATACTGTGAAAGTGACTGGAGTTGTTTAGAAGATGACATGAGGAGTGCCTCGGGGTATGCTTACTTATTTGGAAATGGAATGTTCTCATGGGCTTTTGTGATGCAACATTGTGTAGCTCTATCAAAAGCTAAAGTGGAGTACATTAGTGCATCAGAGGCAACTGCTCAAGCCACTCGGCTTAGGTTTGTTTTGGAAAAATTTTAGTGAGCTTCAAACTGAGGCAACTCCACTGAAATATGACGACACTTCCGCAATTGCCATCGCTAATAAAATCCTATATTTCACTAGAAAAACCAAGCATATCAACAGAAGGTACCATCTCATCAAAGAAGCAATTCAAAAGGGTGTGGTTAGATAATAGACATACTTACAAAAGCACTGGCAAATGATTAGTTCAACTATCTCAGAGAGCTTGGTGAAATCAGTTAATAATTTAAAGGGGAGTGTTGACCTATAAATTGGTGATCTAATTTTTTGTTTGAATTATAAATTGGTGATCTAATTTTTTGTATTACTAAGTCAATTATAATGTTAAAATTGGCTTTGTGCTCATATTGCCAGGTGGATATTTTTAATTGTATTTGTTTGTTATGACTTATAGGTCTAAGAAGAGCTATATCTTAAGCTTATAAGTTGTAGGATGGATGGCTAGGATTTCATGATGTAAAAGAGAATCCTCCCTCAACTATGTAACCTAACGATAGCTGAGGTCGTAAGGTTTTTAGTCTTATGAATAAGATTTGCAGAGTAACATTCTTTTGAATCGCAGTCTATATTCTTCCTCTATATCATTCAACTCTGATACAATTTTGTTCTTGTTCAAATATACAAATTACAAACATACGTATACACCACCAAATTCTAACAATACTAACTTGGCTATTGAGAACTTTTGGCCGGTACCACACCGATACTTTAGGAATTTCACGATTGTTTGTTCTCTTGTGTAGGTGACTGTTCTAGCACTTTCCTTCATCTGCGGTGGTGCGGAAATTTAATTCAAACGCCAATGCAAATGTAAATTTAATGCAGTCACTCTTGAAAATAATTCATTTAACACTACAGTTGAATTATTTCATCACCATCCATAAATTATTCGCAGGCTAATGACTTAAAACGTTGATATAGTTTCTTCAACACTAGTGTGGAATTATTTCATCACTACCAATGTAGCTAAGATGTAAACTTGACACATTCCTAAAGGTACACTTTTATTGCAATGGCAATGCATCGATTCTTCGGGTTATCATTTGACGATAACATGCTTTTCGAGGCCAGGAATGTGAGTTTTCATAATGTAGTCTTCCCAATCAATGCACCTGGGATCAAAATTAAATTCTTTTGCGTCTATGTAACTCTCATTTGTCACCCTTCGCAGCTCCTCCGAATTGGTGTCATCAAATCTACCAGGGAAAACATGTTAATCATTATCATAAGATTTATGCATAATTACAATTAACCATAAAACTTAGTTTAATCACCAAATAAAGCATACGTACATGCCCTTGAATAACAGATAGGGTTTGTACAGCTCTACCATGCGCATTACCAATTTGAGTTTTCGACTGTAATTAGCATATATATCCTTGAAATATCGGCATGATGCCTTATTTACGAACTTTAATCCCTTCAAAGATGCAAAGAAGAATATATGAGAGGAAAACAATAAAAAGAGAAGAAACAAAACAAGCACGTGCGATATCAAGAATAACGAAACATACTATTAAAGGAACATTAAGTACTTTATAGTCCATGTTTTTAGTTTTATTACTAGCAAGGAATAGGTTGAACAAACCTGCAGAGGTATCATGAAGCGAATTTGCATGTACATGCGGAAAGAAGCCATAGTCCTAAGCATTCTAAACTTCGCAACCTTAATAGGCTTTCCGTCCTTCGTCACCCAGGGAAATTTGGTGAAGTATCGAAAGCCAATATCGTGAATATCACAAAATTTTACAGGGTTGCGAAATGAAGATCCCACATGGTAAATGAGAATAGAAGATTGATTTGCATTCACCACTATCGCTGAAATTATTGAATTTACCACCATGTCAACAGGAATCTGTGTAATTTACAATTCGATCTTCAGTTATACATATCTAAAAGAAAAAAAAAAAATCACAAATACAATTGAACTTTAGGGTGTAAGCAATTACCAAGTCGAAAAAAGAAATTCAGCAATATTATATCCCCAATTTGTACTTCAACAAATATTCCTTCTGTTGTAAACTTTCTAATTTAAGCGTGAATGTGTAAATTCTAAATTAGATTTGATTCTAAAAGCACTAAAATTATGACCCTTATAATAACAAGAAGTTTAGAATGCTATATTATGTACTTAGGGTGAAGTATCATTTGACCCTCTGAATTATCACTTTGTTGAAAATTAACCCCCTAAACTATTTGGTAATTAACACTTAAATTTTTAAAATTTGCCAATTGATCCCCTGTCGTCTGATTCTATCCATAATTCTGTTAAATTTATGGGCAAACTAGTTTTCTCATCATTCATTTCAACATGTCATCATCGACCACTAATAAAAATATGTCACATGGAAATTTGTATTGTTTTATTTTTTGGGTTAATGTCAGTTTACTACCTTGAAGTTTCTTGGTTTTCAACATTTGGTACATCAAGTTTTTTCGTCCCAGTTTGATACCTAAAGTCATAATTTTGGGACAGTTTCATATATCCGTTAAGTTTTCTATCAAAAACTTGGGTAAAAGACTGTTTACTACCCTCATGTTTCATGGTTTTCAACATTTAGTACATCAAGTTTTTTTCGTCTCAGAGTCATACCTAAAGTGTAAATTTTGGGACAATCTCATACATCCGTTAGTCAAACTGTTAAATTTGCGGTTAATTGTGACGTGGCGCCCATGTGGACAATGACTGGGCGCCACGTGTCAACCACGTTTTTTTTTTTGTTTTTTCTTTCTTCTTTTCTTCTTCTTCTTCTTCTTCTTCTTCTTCTTCTTCTTCTTCTTCTTCTTCCACCCGACTGCAACATTTTTTTTTTCCTTCCTCCTTCTCCTTTCTTCCCCTTCTTCTCCTTCTTCCTTCTCTTCCTCCGAATCTGGGGAAGTTTTTTTTTTCTTTCTCCTTCTTCCTCCTTCTTCATTCCTCTTCTTCTTCTTCTTCTTCTTCCTCCGAATCTGCCCAGATTCGGTTTTTTTTTTTTTTTTTTTTTTTTTGAGGAAGATGAAGAAGAAGGAGGAAGGAGGAAGGAGGAAGGAAGAAGGAAGAAGGAAGAAGAAGAAGAAGAAGAAGAAGAAGGAGGAAGAAGAAGAAGGAAGGACAAAAAGAAAAGAAAAAAAGTTGCAGTCGGAGGAAGAAGAAGAAGAAAGAAGAAAAAAAAAAAAGCCGAATCTGGGCAGATTTGGAGGAAGAAGAAGAAGAAGAAGAAAAAGAAGGAGAAGGAGAAGAAGGGGAAGGAAGAAGGAAGAAGGAAGAAGGAGGAAGAAGAAGAAAGAAGGAAAAAAAAAAAAGAATCTGGGTAGATTCGGAGGAAGAAGAAGAAGAAGAAGAAGAAGAAGAATGAATAAGGAGGAATGAGTAGGAAGAAGAAGGAAGAAGGAGAAGGAGAAGGAAGAAGAAGGAAGAAGGAGAAGAAGGGGAAGGAAGAAGGAGGAAGGAAGAAGGAGAAGGAGGAAGAAAAAAAAAAACAAAGTTTGTAGTCGGGTGGAAGAAGAAGAAGAAGAAGAAAGAAGAAAGAAGAAGAAGAAAGAGAAAAAAAAAAATCCCCAGCTTCGGAGGAAGAAAAAGGAGAAGGAGAAGGAGAAGGAAGAAGAAGGAAGAAGAAGGAAGAAGGAGAAGAAGGGGAAGGAAGAAGGAGGAAGGAAGAAGGAGAAGGAGGAAGAAAAAAAAAGTTTGCAGTCGGGTGGAAGAAGAAGAAGAAGAAAGAGAAAAAAAATAAAAAATTCCCCAGATTTGGAGGAAGAAAAAGGAGAAGGAGAAGGAGAAGGAGAAGGAAGAAGAAGGAAGAAGGAGAAGAAGGGGAAGGAAGAAGGAGGAAAGAAGAAGGAGAAGGAGGAAGAAAAAAAAAAAAAGTTTGCAGTCGGGTGGAAGAAGAAGAAGAAGAAGAAGAAGAAAGAAGAAAGAAGAATAAAAAAAAAAAAAACGTGTCACAAAAAAAAAACGTGGCTGACACGTGGCGCCACGTCATTGTCCACATGGGCGCCACGTCACAATTAACGGCAAATTTAACAGTTTGACTAACGGATGTATGAGACTGTCCCAAAATTTACACTTTAGGTATGACTCTGAGACGAAAAAAACTTGATGTACTAAATGTTGAAAACCATGAAACATGAGGGTAGTAAACAGTCTTTTACCCCAAAAACTTCGTTAACTGATGACGTGGCACCCACGTGGACAATGACTAGGAGTCACGTGTCAATATGGACCCACGTAGATATTAAAAAATAAAATAAAAAAAATTAATTAAAAAAAAATCTTGTGTGTTCCCTCTCATTTTCCCCGCCAATCCTAGATTTTGGTCTCAATTTTTCGAGAATCCAAACAGGAAATGAAGGACCCAAATCCAAGATTTCACCTTCTCGCATCCTAAAGATGCTACCCAAGTCCCCAACGTCTCTGTCGTGGAAGCTCGAGAGCTTAGCTACTAGCTTTCCCTAGGTTTGCAACGCCACCGTCAAGCAGACGAGGTCGAAATAGACGACAGTAGGGAGGATAATGGTGGGGTCCGATCGGATGTTGGCATTGATTAGGTTCGGTTTCATCTATGTCGGATTGGAAGGAGGCGTGGAGGGGGATGGTGTCGCATTCGGAGCGTGGGGAGTCGAAGAAAAGAGGAGGTTTGGGTGGGTGGGTGGGTGGAGTTGAAGAGGGAAGGGTGGATGTGCAAGAAGTGATGTGGAGAAAATGGTTGAGTGGGTGCAAATGAGAGAAAGGAGGGACGTGAAGTACGAGATAGCCAAGAATAATTTTTTTAATTAATTTTTTTTTTTAATTTTTAAGTTTTTAAATTTTTTTTAATATCCACGTGGCTTATATTAACTCCGCCGTGTAAGTTTATCTTACATTGCCGGTCCCAAGCCCGGATAAAGGAGGAGGGGGAGGGCGTCAGGTAGTCGACAGCCGGCACTCCATGATTACGTCGAATCCTTATGAAAATGAATCCAGAACGAAATCGCGCTAAAGCTAGAGCGTCACCCGTAAGTGGCACGCTGTGTGGCCCGAGCACAGTGATAAGTGAGCAAGGGTCGCTGTATCTCCATTGGCACCCGGATGCAGTGTTAAATGAGCAAGGGGGCTATAGAAACTTCTTTTCGAACGACTCCACTCAAAGTTGTTTGGGAGCATATGCTCCTATCAACTTTACACGGGACACACAAAAGAAGTACTTTGATCCTATTAGACGGGGAAGGGTGAAGAAGCTAGGACAGAAGGGTAGAGTTCAAGAGAGCAAAATGCGTTTAGGAACGTGGAATATAGGAACCTTGACGGGAAAATCTATGGAAGTAGTAGAAGTTATGGTAAGGAGAAGGATAAATATTATGTGCCTACAAGAAACTAAGTGGGTTGGGCGTAAGGCAAATGATCTAGAAAACTCAGGGTTTAAACTATGGTATTCGGGCACCAATAGAACGAGAAACGGTGTTGGCATCATCGTGGACAAGACCTTGACACAAGATGTTGTAGATGTCAAGAGGGTAGGAGATAGAATCATGGCAATCAAGATTGTAATAGGACAAGAACTTATCAATGTGATTAGTGCGTACGCACCTCAAGTAGGGTTGGATACGAGTTCAAAGGAGAAATTTTGAGAAGACCTTGGAGACTTGGTGCAAGGAATTGCTCAGACGGAGAAGTTATTTATAGGAGGAGATTTAAATGGACACGTGGGCAGGGAGACAGGCAACTATGGAGGTTTTCATGGTGACCATGGTTTTGGGGAGAGAAACGAGGATGGGGAAGCTATCTTGGATTTTGCAATGGCATATGATCTCTTCTTAGCCAACACCTTCTTTAAGAAGAGAGAAGAACATGTGATCACCTACAAGAGTGGGTCGTCAAAAACACAAATAGATTTTCTTCTAATGAGGAAAGAGGATCGTATAACTTGTAAGGATTGCAAAGTTATACCAGGAGAGAGCGTGACTAATCAACATCGCTTGTTGGTGATGGCTGTACATATCAAAAGAGTGAGAAAAAAGAAGAAGACTTGGAAGTGCCCAAGGACTAGATGGTGGAATCTAAAAGAAGAAAAACAAGCCATTTTCAAAGAGAAAATAATCACCCAGTGTGTGTGGGATAGAGAGGGGGAAGCTAACCAAATGTGGGATTCCATGGCTAGTTGTATCCGAAAAGTAGCAAAAGAGGTATTAGGAGAGTCCAAGGGCTTTGCCCCACACCAAAAGGAATCTTGGTGGTGGAATGAGGAGGTACAAACAAAGGTGAAGGCTAAGAAGGAATGTTGTAAAGCCTTATACAAGGATAGGACCGATGAAAATGGTGAAAGGTATAGAAAAGCGAAGCAAGAGGCGAAGAAAGCTGTGAGAGAAGCTAAGTTAGCGGCTTATGACGATATGTATAAGTGACTAGATACCAAAGAAGGAGAGTTGGATATCTATAAACTAGCTAGAGCAAGGGAAAAGAAGATAAGGGACCTAAACCAAGTGAGGTGCATCAAGGATGAGGATGGAAAGGTTCTTGCTACAGAGAACGCGGTTAAAGACAGATGGAAAGGTTATTTTCATAATCTTTTCAATGAAGGACATGAAATGAGTGCTTCTTTAGGGGAGCTGAGTAACTCAGAAGAGTGTAAAAACTACTCTTTTTATCGTAGAATCCGGAAGGAAGAAGTGGTTGTAGTTTTGAAGAAGATGAAGCATAGAAAAGCAGTAGGCCCAGACGATATACCAATCGAAGTGTGGAAAGTTTTGGGAGAGACAGGTATAACATGGCTCACTGACCTTTTCAATAGGATTTTGAAAACGAAGAAGATGCCAAATGAGTGGCGAACGAGCACTTTGGTGCCTATCTACAAGAATAAGGGCGATGTACAAAATTGCATGAACTATAGGGGTATTAAGCTA